TTTTTCATTTCTGGAACTCTTCCTTTAATTTTTTTGTAATCGTATATTGTTCTTTAACTTCTGGAACTCATTCTTGTGTCCTGGTTCTTTTTCATAATGGTTTATATTCTTGTTTTATTTATTCTATACCCCTCCAATACCTCTTAGGATAAATGTTAGAATTTTTTTCAAATTTGCTTTTTGTACCCTGAGCTCTTTTTCTTCTAAGCTGTTCTGTTTGTTCCCATTGATACTTTTCTGTGGGTTCGTGGCACTGAATGAGTGACTGAGTCTCTCAGTGTAGACCGCAAGCCTGAGTCTCCTCCCAGTGGGTCTCCCACCACCCACTCCAGCATGGGGCTCTGTGGAGAGGCTGTGTGGGTAGATGTGGTGACATCAGATTTATCCTGGGCACTGTGCATGCTTTAACCTAGAGTCCTCTCAACAGTTTCAAATGACCGAATTAGCCGGAATTCATTCTGATTGGAGGATGAATACAGCGTTTTTCTCTGCTGGGCTAGCTTCCACATCCCTCCCATCTGCCCTGGTGGAAGTGTTACTCCAAGTTCCCTTCCCCTTAGTCCTTCCAGGCAGCCTCCGCATCAGCCTCCCCCAAAGTAGCTCACCTTTGCTGGAGGGCAGCCCTTTATCTTGAGCTCAGATGCTGTTGCTGCTCAACCTGGGGGAACGAAGAGGGGTTGGTTGGGGCCTGGGGAGACGAGGCTGAGTCTGGCCACCCTGATATCATTCCTCTCCTCGCAGCAGCAGGCCTGAGGGTTCCCACACTCCTGCCAACACTTAGCATTAAGCACCTTTGAGTCCGTGTGCTAATCTGATGGATGTAAACTGGTATCTCAGTGTGGGTTTAATTTGGGTTTCTTTCATGAATAAAGAGTTTGAACAGCCCTTTGTAACTTTCATTTTTTTTTCCCCTCTGTGAATTGGCTATTTATATCCTTTCCCATTTTTCCCATTTTGGATTTCCTGTCTTTTTCTTACTGATTTGCAAGAGTTTATTGTACACTTGGAATATTAGATCCTTGTCAATTTTCCAGTTTGCAAGCATCTTATGTCATGGGCCCGTGAACCTTATTTATAGTGTTAGCAAGTGAACAGAATTCTGATTAAATTAAGTCCACTCATTTTTCATCCAAAATTTTATGTGTCTGAGATATGGTTTAAGAGAAATATTGTTTTACATTTTCTGCTGTTAGTGTAACTTCCACATTTAGGACCCTGATCCAGCCGAAGTCCATCTTTGTGACTGGTGTAAAGTGGGATCCAGTTTAATTTCTTTCCACATGGTGACGCAGTTCTATTTTCCCTGTTACTTTTGGTGCCCTTTTATCATTTATCAAGTTCCTATATATACGTGGGTCTCTCTCTGTACCCTCTTCTCAGTCTATTGCTTTATTTGTCTGTTCTTGGGACAAACTGTTATGGCTTTGCAGTGTGCTTGTATTAGTTGAGTAGGGCTGCACAACAAAGTACTGCAGACTGAATGGATTTAACAACAGAAATTTATTTTCAGACCATGCTGAAGGCTAGAGTCTGAATCAAGGTGTCGGCGGAGTTAGTTTCTGCTGAGGACCCCCCCCTTGGCTTATAGATGCCAGTCTTCGCCCTGTGTCTTCACATGGCTTTCTCTTGTGTGTCCTAATACTCTCTTACGAGGACAGCAGCCGTGTTGGATTAGAGCTCCCCCTAATGACCTCATTTTAATCAATCACCTCTCCAAAGAGGCATCTATCTCCAAATACAGTCACCTGCTGAGGTACAGGACGTTGGGACTTAAATATATGAATTTTTCAGGGGGACATAATTCAGCCCCCAACACTGTCTTAATACCTACGTAGCAGTTCACCCCTTCTTTGCTTTTCTTTATTGTCTTCAATATTGTCTTAGCTACTTATGCACCTTTATTTTTCCATCAACATTTTATAATAACTTGGTTCATTTCCTTTAAAAAATTCAGTTGGGATTTTTCCTTAGGTTGTATTGAATTTATCAATTAATTTGAAAAAGTTGACATTTATAATTATGCTAATTCAAACCCATCCAAGACCATGGAATAATATCTTTTATTATTTAGATATTCTTTCCCCTGCGGTGGCCGAGCAGCCTGGGAGCGGCCGCACCCCCAGCAGCCACCCAGAATCTCCCCCCTGCGCCCAGCCACCTGGGCCAGACCCAAAGGCCGCCGCTGGTGTGCAGCTGCTCGGCACAGGCAGAAGAAACTGGGGCAAGGTGCAAAGGGGTGCCGCTCTTGCAGGAGAGCACACCCGGCTCGCCTGCCACTCCCAGCAGGGCTCTGGGCTACTCTGACCGTGACCCTGCCCATGGAAGCTTAGGGGATTAACCTGGAAGTTGCTCCAGGACTGTGGGTACCCGACAGAGGCAGCAGAGAAGGGCAAGGCAACCAGCAGACAGGAAAGGACTTTGTTCTCCCAGCTGACACACACACTACCTGCCTGCAGCTACCTCTATCACCATGAAAAGGCAGAAGAATCTGGTCCAGTCCAGAATTACCCAGACAACCCCCGAGAGAGGGCCTGGGGAGATAGATTTAACCAATCTTCCTGAAAAAGAATTCAAAATAAAGGTCATAACCATGCTGATGGACCTGCAGAGAAATATGCAAGAGCTAAAGAAGCAAGTAGGGAGGGAGAATACAGAA